TACTAAAATTTGAGAGTACATGTACATGTATAATTTAATGTATATTGTATGAATTGATTAAAATCTTTTGTGCTTTTTATTTCTCTACAGATCTTGAGATGGCCATTAATTGCCTACTGGAATCTTATTTTTACTGGTCGCTTCAAATTTTTGGACTTGTGTTGTGAATTTTTAAAAGTAAACAATAGTTGTAATTACATGTAAAGGTTACATTTCATTTCTCTCTTTCTCTCTCTTTCTCCCTCTCTCAGTCTCATTATAAAAGAGCTGGCAATACCCAAAGACACTTAGAAACTTCTGCTAGAGTTTTCAAATGCGATTGATGACACCATGAGCAATTATGATGAAGATGATAGGTCTATACTGTATAAATTGTAATGTCCTCCTCTTTAAATAATTTGTATTTTGTACAGCACTTTAATGTATGGCAGCTTTATTTCTTTGTAAATTTTTTGATGATTTTATACACATACATGTACATGTACAGCACTTTACTATGAACATGTACATGTACATTAATGATTGTATGATTGGTTTATTATTCATAGGTCAGTATATACTCTAACTATGTACATGTACAAATTCCTCGGTTCTTCTTTGTGTCTGATTCAGCACTACTGGAGATACTGGGAAATATATTGGGTATCTGAAAAATACCCAAGGCTATAGCTCATGGTTTGTTCCAAAAAATGGCTCCAAAATCACCCCAAATTTTTATTACATTATCTGATACATATTAATGTCCTTATGCTGTGTAGAAAATTTGAGCTGATTCCTACTTCAATTTATCAAGTTACGGCCATTTCAAGAAAACACCAAAATTCTGAAAAATACCCAAGGCTATGGTTTTTTCCAAAAAAAATGGCTAAAAGTCGTCCCAAATTTTATTACATTATCTGATACATATTGATGTCCTGATGCTGTGTAGAAAATCTGAGCTGATTCTGACTTCAGTTTTTCAAGTTACGGCCATTTCGAGAAAACGCCAAAATTCTGAAAAATACCCAAGGCTATAGTCCATGGTTTTTTAAAAACAATGGCCAAAAAGTCACCCCAAATTTTTATTACATTATCTGATGCATATTGATGTTTTTTATGCTGTGTAGAAAGTTTGAGGTCATTCCGACTTCAATTTTTCAAGTTATGGCCGTTTTAAGAAAACGCCAAAATTCTCAAAATTACCCAAGGCTATAGCCCATGGTTTTTCCCAAAAAATCAGCCCAATTTTTATTACATTTACTGATACATATTGATGTCCTTATGCTGTGTAGAAAGTTTGAGGTGATTCCGACTTCAATTTTTCAAGCTACGGCCATTTTAAGAAAATGTCAAAATTCTGAAAAATACCCAAGGCTATAGCCCATGGTTTTTCCCAAAAAATGGCCAAAAAATCAGCCAAAATTTTTGTTACATTTACTGATACATATTGATGTCCTTATGCTGTGTTGAAAGTTTGAGGTGATTCCTACTTCAATTTTTCAAGTTACATCCATTTCAAAAAATTCCAAAAATATCCAAAGCTTTACACGTAGCTGTATTGGCTGTCTCAACTCCACTCCTTGTGCCATTATCAGCCATATAGCACTCTTTACTGTGCTATAACTATCATGTATTTGAAGTTGTGGCGCATTTGTTGAACTGCTAAATTTTGGTGTGTTTTAATTTGTGTCCATGTCCCATTGAGCATGTACATGTGTACATAATGGTTCATAATGGTGGGTTTTATTTTGGTGAATGGCTATTATCAATGCCAAATTCACACGTTCAGATTTTTAAAAATGGACATATCTTACAGTATGTGTCATGTATTAACCTTCTCTTTCCTAAGGTTATAGCAAGTTCCTGTTAAAGGTTCAAGTACATTAGGTATGTGTCAATATAATTATATTGTTCTCTGTTCTAGTGTGGGCATCAATGTAGTGCCGCCTCCACGTGACACTGCCTGGGATCACTAGTGGCTACTACTGCTAGTGATGCTAAGAGCACTACATACAAGAAGAATAGATACTAACAGTAACTATGTATGATGAATTACATTCCATTGTTAGGTTAATGACATTAAGAGGATAATTCTCTGCTATTGAAGACTACATTGAGAAGTATTCTAAGTATAGTATTGTTAAATATGTTGTTATTGCTATAGATTAATTGTTTGCTGTTTGAAGCTGTACATTAACTGAAGACTATAAAGAATTACATAACATTATTGTTTATAATTTTAGCATTTTTGTTTAAGACACAAAGTTGTCTTTTTATCATTGATTATTATGAATTTTGATTAAAATTATTGCGAGAGCCATTAATGCAGAAGCAGGTGCAATGACTTATAAACAGAAATGAGATTGAATCATGAAAATTGACAATAAAATAAGAAACACACTTCAGCCATACATGCAGAGTACAAGTCAACAATAATTTTAATTAATTAAACCAGTCTTATATATAGTGTTATATACAGTCCTTAGTTCCTAAACCCAGTCTATAGATCTTCAGTATATGAATGAGAGATCAGTCCTTGAGATGATGAGTTCAGCCTCAGGTCCACAACCTATAATAAATAATAAGAAATGATTAATGATACTTTATTGAATAACATAAAGTCTGACATAAAGTTGATTCAAACAATAATTTGTTGACTTACAGCCATTTTAAAGTAGTAATTTTTTGAAAAAAATCAAAAGAAACAAATGCTAATAGTCCATGGTTTTCTATAAAAATCACACCCAACTAATGGAAGGAACACAGTAATTTCAGCAACTTTAAAAATTTAGAATCAACTCAAACTTTCTACACAACATAAGTACATGTACATGTAAAGAAAATGTAATAAAAATGGAGAATTATATTTAAAATTATAAAAAAATTCAATTTTGATAAAAATCAGCTCAACTGTTATATGAACATGTATAATAATCAAGTGCAATAAAATGATAATTCTCTCATTCTTAATTTTGGCAAAATTTGACCATAACCCTGTACTATAGTACAGTGACTTTTAGTCAGTTTTAGAGCAACTTTAAAAATTTATAAAAATCTATTTTGGTTGGAATCAGCTCAAACTTTCTATGCAATAGAAGTACATGTATTTGCATCATAAAATTGTATAAAAATGCAAAATTTCCTCCTAGTATAATTAATTTGGCGAAATTTGGTTATCCTAGTACAGGGACTCATAACCAATTTTAAGGCAACTTAACTGAAAAATCTATTTTGGACAAAGTCAGCTCAAACTTTCTATACAATATGAGTGCATGTATATGTATCAGGACAAAATATAAAAATGATAAAAATGAAGATCTCTCTTTATTAATATTGGCAAATTAGATAAATGACCCACTATTTACTCATAAAACATTTCATTTAATTATAATTTATATTATGCAGTAACTAGTTAATATGTACTTCATTGTGAACTGTCTGAATTTTGCCAAGTCATGCCTACAAATCACTGTCCAGTTAGCCCACGTGCCTCTAAAATGTAAAATGACAGGTGTATAAAATGGATCCTAATAGAGAGGTCATGATTGTTGAATAGTAGATTCATTCCAATGGATCAGAGACTGACACTGAGTACTATTGTTAAGTCTTCAGAGGATGATATCACATGCAGCCTTTATTGCAGCACAGTCAACCCACGTGTATTCACGTGGGTAGATCTAGTCCACACCTACAATATTGTTGTCGGACACGCCCTAAACCTGCTGACTTCAGCTGCTCGACTCGTTTTTATTTCTCAAGCCTCTCATTCTCTTCTTTTCTCATTTTCTTTCGCTCTCTTTCGTGAAGAATGGCTACTGGTTGGACTCCAGTAAGTATATACTATCAATAGAGTATATAATTAATGCCCGTTATTGTACATATTGTGTTAGTAATGTACTGATACACGTATAAGTACATGATAGTGCCGGTACTCAGTGTTGGTTAATGTGTGGGTAGATCTACATGTACATGTATATGATTCAATTGATGTAGTTAGTTTGGGAATTGTCCCAAATTTCAGATACAATGCTTTTGTAACA